GACCAAGGCCACCTGACCTTGATAGTAATTCAATGCCTGATGCCTTAGATGAGACAAAACACCACAGCTTAGCTCACTTGAGGGAAATGTGTTTGTGCACAGCTTTTATACAGGACTAACACGAGGTTCACTGGCAGCAAGAGATGGTATGAATATGCATAAGGGTATAGATTATTCATCTGGCATGTGGATGCCACTTTTCCCCCTTCCGAATGTTGCATATATAAGCGCTTAGTCATTTCTAAAATAAACACCAGTCCAAAATCAGGTGAATAACTTTTAAAGTTTTAACTTGGATGTTTAATCTTTCCCGAAGGATCATTTTAAGGAACGGTTTAAGACTGTGTATTTCCACACATAACTCAGTTTGAACAAGCTGAATTTCTACTCTCTTAAATTTCAGAAGTGCTTCAGCTTCTTCATACTTCACACTCCACGCTTCAAGGATGTTCTTTATTGTGACTCCTTATTAGCTGTTCCAATTCTTGTTGTGCATTTGTTTGAATGAATTCTTTTGACATTTTCCTGGTGTAACAACTTTTATATACCACAGGTATACCATTATCTCAGATTTTATATTATTATTAGCAGCAAGAAAATGTGTAAAATATAAAATTGGAATTTCTGCAATATACTCAGGTAATGCCAGTAACTTTTCTTCTTTTTTTCTTTTTTTTTTTTCTTTTTTTTCTTTTTCTTTTTTTTCTTTTTTTAAACCATGTTACTTTCAAAAGGTTTTCATATTTTAATTGTTTTTTTGGTTGTTGGGGTGGGTTTTTTTTTTACATTTTAATGTATTGACCACTCATTAATTGGCTTTTCCATCACAATTCACTATTTCCACATTGAAGCCTTATTCTACATGGAATTTTGCAACATACAGTGGGGGTTATGAAACACAACGGTAGTTTAAGTTGCCCAGTCTAAAGCATACTGAGAACATGGCACTCATTATACTTAAGGAACTGAAATCATTAGGTGGTAACAGCTTGTTGTCACACTAACTACCAACGTGGTCTGAATTAAAAGAGGCACCCTGCTGAGATCTTTACCAGGACTCATTCATTAACTCCCTCTCCTTGTTCTCATCTGTTTTGCTGCTGTAGCCAGGTGAGAATTAACGGGGCAGTTTACATCAGGCAGATGGTGGGTTCCCCAGGACAACTCTATTTAGAGAATAAGGAGGAGGAATCAGTAACTGGTTAATAAGTATGGGGCAAATAAGAAATGTAAAGATTTAGGGTTATTTGCAAGATGCTTTTGACTTACAGTTTCTTCTAGGTTGAAAAAAAAAAAAAAAAAGACTGATTTCCTATAGTATAGAACCTCCCTGGACAATTTAATTTCCCTGTATGTGTTACTATTAACAACAGCTCTTGAAGTAATGTATCTTTACTTTGCTACCACAGAATTCTTCAAGTAAAAGAGAACCACGGAAACATAGAATAGTTTGGGTTGGAAGGGACCTTTAAAGGTCATCTAGTCCAATCTCCCTGCAATGAACAGGGACATCTCCAACTAGATCAGGTTGCTCAAGGCTCCGTCCAAACTGCCCTTGAAAGTTTCCAGAGATGGGACACGTACAGCCTCTTTGGGCAACTTGTTGCATTTCACCACCTTCATTGTAAAACATCTCTTCCTTGTATCTAGTCTAAATCTTCCTCTTTCAGTTTAAAGCCATTACCCCTTGTCCTATCGCAACAGGCCCTGCTAAAAAGTTTGTCCCCATCTTTCTTATAAGCCCTCTTTATGAACTGAAAGGCCACAATAAGGCCTTCCAGGAGCCTTCTCTTCACCAAGAACAACCCCATCCCTCTCAGCCTGTCCTCATAGCAGATGTGCTCCATCCCTCTGATTATTTTTGTGGCCTCCTCTGGACCTGCTCCAACAGGTCCATGTTCTCCCTGTGCTGGGAAGCCCCTGCTCTCTACACCCGAAATGCAGAAATATTTTATGTCTGTTAGTGAACGCGTCAAAGATAATTTATCTATTAAAACTTAAATTAAGAAACACTTTGGTAATCGGATCAGAGATAATCAGAGTTGTTTATTACAAAACACAGGTACTTTGAAAAATCTTGCCCTCATCCTCTTGTTTCCTAAAAAATTATAGGGTCTACTTAAGAGACAATCCTGAAGAAAGCAGACAAACTCTGAAGGAGAAATGCTCCCTGACTGTTTATCATCTGTCAAAAATGACCTTCAGCTGCACGTATCTTGCATTTGCTTTTCTGTTTTCGCTCATAGTCACAGGACGTGAAGTAATGAACCTCTCAGGTCTCCACAGTGCACCCTTGAGCCACACCAGCTCCTTGCCAGGTTCTCTAGGCATCCAATAGGGAAGTCCCTACAGGGAGGATCTCTGCCAGAATATAATATTCACCCAAATAAATGTCAAAACACATTTTGGCAAAATAATCAGTAATACTTGTCTCTATTTTATTATTAACCACGGGAAGGCAAATCTAACCCATTTCCCATGTGTGACTGCCCACAGTTCATGAGCTATTACCTTTATAGACCCCTCAATCTCCCCAATTTCCGCTCATGCTTCCTGTCCTTTTTACACTCACCTTTGTAAAAGTTTGTAAGACTTCCACATAATTTTATACGGCTTGCTTTTTTATAAGTTCTAGTGTTTTTACTCAAATGGTTTTATATACCAGAACACGTGTGATGTATAACTTTTCATAACACCTGAGCATTGCAGTTTTTCTTTGTAATGGATTTCATTTGTACCTGACAGTCTATGCTTGAAACTTATAAGCATAAAATTAAAATACCAAACAAATTTCTAAACCTGCTCTTTGAATTAGCAAACTGCACAGTATCTCAGAAGGCTTTAGTAAGCATTTTCTCCCCTTACTGCTTCCCAGACACCTGACTAAGATGATGTTCATCCCTCTTATCCTGCGTGCCCTGTACTTTCTGATTCTCTAGGCTCTTTACCACACACTTATAAGAATTCAGAAGGGCACAAGGGAAATTATTTTTAAAATTGTTCGAGTTCCGTTAAGGAGAAAATATCTACAACACTGTGGGGGCTTTCTTTTCCCTGATATGGTCAGAAAAGTTTTGCAAAGATGTTGGCAGCAGCCCAGGAGACAAGTACAGTATTTTGATTTCCATTAAACTTATATGATTTTGATATTATTCCTTTTGGTATTCCCTCAAGGTACATATTTCTTTAAACAAAGTAGCTACCACGTTTTTTATGTTGACACTGGCGAGATCCTACCTTTCTCTCAGTTTCCTGGTACGTTATTTCTCAAGTAATCTTGTTCAACATGTAAGTATTAGATATAATTGTAAGTTCTCACAAAGGGCTTCGTATTGATGAAGTTTTTTCTAGAACTACTGGTGTTTGTTTTTTTTTTTCAAAAGTGCTTGTATTAAATGCCAATTTCAAAGAATCGAGCCTTTACTATGACAAAGTTTAGGGGATTTGGATGCACACATGCTGCATTGTAATATCCTATTATAGATTTCTGTTGGATTTAGTTAGCACAGTTCGATCTCCAGATTGTTAAAAAGAAAAAGAAAAAGTAAAAGTAAAATTTGTATCAGTTATTGTGTTGGTTGTCTGTCCAAACACATTTGATCAGGAAGCCTCTTTTCCCACCACAATCTTTCCCTGCAATACGTTTCCCTAGTATTTCCAGACACTCTAAAGTTACAGGACAACTTAACAGTTCCTCTAATCAAAACCTTCATCTTAGATTTTATGAAGTTTAAATTTTATTGTATTCTTTACTGATGTATCCACCTTCTTCACCCAAAACATTTGATTCAATAGAAATTTCTTCCAGTACTGAAATATTTCTTTTTCGGCAACAATAAAAGACCTGAATAAGTGCACCATAACAATAATAACCTGCTGGTACTCTGAGGGATCAGGGAAGTCGTGAGGGAAGACTTGGTTTTCTTCTCTCTTCTGCATGACTGGGAAACTTTTCATCAGTACCTAAAACACCCCTGCTACCCAGAAAACCTAAAAGCAAACATCATAAAAACAAATTTTGATTCAGATCTTCAACATAAAACACCGTATCTTATCAACATCAACCGCACTGACCATATGTTTGGTGGAATATATTTTGGTAGTTTGGCAGCATAGGATATAACCTATACTGTATTTATTTAATATTTTAATGTACTTTCAAAGAAAATGCATAGATCCCTTCTCTAAATAGAGACTATTTGATTGAAAAACTAATCTTGACTTCTCTCCTGTTTGAAAATGGCACGTTGTCTTTAGCTGGCATGACATCTTTCTAATATCATAAAACTTCAATGTTTTGAAAGTAAAGGTCATTCCAGAAATTTAATACCTGACTAGAAAAGATCTCTTAATCAGTTTTTTTCTCCTTTGATCATTTAATTGTCTGTATTCTCATAAATATGCCTAAAGAAGAACTGAATTGATCAGTCAAGCTCAATTTAGATTTTCAGCCAAGATCTGAGCAATTAAAAAGATCTGTGCTATTTATAACACTTTCTGATACTAACATTTGCCAGGTTAGAACATCTGTATCTTTTCATTTCAGATAATGAAAAAGCCCCTGTGCAGTTCTGTGCATCTGCTTGAATTAGATGACTTAGTTATTTCTACCTGCATGCGCGATTGTTATTATGTTATTATAGACACTGGAAGGATCATGGAATAAAGCTTGATCTAGCACACTGTAGTTAAGGAAATTAAGCATACGTATTTCTGCATTAACAGTAATCTCCTTAAACGACTCTCTGGCTGCCTCATGCCGTACTATAGATAAACTAAATAAAAGCAGGATCTGTTCTTATTCATTCCCATCTTCAGCTATCAAGTAAATGACTATTCATTCCATATTGTGTTCTCTATAATGTGGGAAAGGTATTTTATATTAAAAATCTGTATGCATATTGCTTTCATAACTACTATCAAGTAAGGAAAGAAAACATGAGTCTCATCAACAGGTTTTTATGACCTTTTAATATACACTGTGAGAACATAGCCTTTAGTTACAATGATAAGCAGAATTTTCATCCTGATAGAATTCAGAGGATAGAGTTATACCTTCTTTATTTTGTTTTATTACTGATATAGAAGATGCACAGACTTAAAGATGCTTGGGTTCCACTTGACATATTTCATTTCTACAGCCAGCACTACAAAAAAAACCTCTTCTGACAAAAATATTAGTAATAGTAATGTATAATATTAATAGCCATCGTAAGCATTTCCCAAGTAAAACAATTCTTATCTATCATTTTATTACTATATTGAGTCTATTTTACATACCTGAAGGATGGCCACTGTGCCTGAAACTTTTGTTTGTTTTTCCAGGTACCACATTTGTTGAAATGGAAACGTTAACTTCTTTCTACAAAAGTTATCTCATTTGATATTCTGCTCCTCAGAAGTGTGCGCTGGCAGAAAGCAGTGTGGAAACCTTTTAATATTGAGTTGTTCAGAAAAATTAAAAAAAAAAAATTCTTGCTGCAACTGTGTAGATATATTTTTCATATATATTTATTGAAATACTCACTTATTTGACAATTCTATGCATGGAAAGTATATAACTTACTCCTATACCTTGAACTCAGCTCTTCATGTGCAATTTGGAATTGAATGGGAATTTGAGGACAACTGTGTGAACTTCTGAAGAGAAAAAATTTGGTTTGAACTCACTTTGGTAGAATCAGGACCATGTTAGGGGTTGTGTGCCAATAAGCACCAATGCTCCTCTATGTCAGGATTTGTCTGTTTGTGGAAAAGAGAGACTGCTTTTTGCAGAGCTGTGTATTTCCCCACAGAAATTTGACTACCTTGGTGCTTTCTTCTCACTCTTACAGGACCTCAGTTAAAATGTAAGCATCAGGGAGCCACTTTAATAAATAAAACACTTGAAAATAGAGGTTGCAGATGTGTGATGGGAGGGGGGGGGTAGTTAACATTAATCACAGTCATGTTCCTCACAATTTGGATTTTGGGAAAATCATTGTCAGTTCCTCAGCCTCCTGCCTGCATTTATGAGGTGGGGTTAAAGTACTTAGTCAATTAGAGACATCCAAGGGCAAGAGAACATTGCTAAAAGGTTCTTTACCACACTTTTGTATTTTTAAAGCATGTGTTTTATACTAAAGAAAGAATTACTTCCTGAGAAAATGCAGGCACATCTCAAGACTTACAGTACAGTCTTCCCAAAAGAGTCATCTTTGCTCTTCCTAAGACTATGTATATCATTTGTAATAAGATTACTTTCTTTTTTATCTGTCTACATTTGAATTAAGGTAATTTCATTACTTATGTTTCTATAGTTGGAAATGTTTCCAATAAAACCAAATAGTACTAATTAATAAAGATGTTTTGTGTTAGTTACATCTGAAATACTTAGACAAAAAAAAAACCCAACAGCAAAACTGCAATACATTTACTAAATTCCTTTATTATATACCATCAGAATAAACTGTCCTGGCATTGATAATACAAAATTAAGTTAATAGCATCAATAAGAAGGGAGATGTCCTCTGAATGGGACCAGCCTGTAATGTGTCTCAAGCAACAGCCAATCTGAGCAAGTAACATCAATTTGATTCAGTTGCAGATAGAGGAGTTCAGAGCAAGACTCATAAACATTATGTCTCACCACTAAATTAAAAAAAAAATAAATATGTGAACACAAGAGAACTCCCCTCCCTCTGATGCTTCAGGAACCACAGACCGAATCCAATTTGTTTTGCTCAGGTGAGTAGTTTCTTACTTGAGTGGTAGGTCAGTCTAGGACAAGTAGACTTGCAATTCAAAGGAATTGCATCTAAAATGGATGTAATAGGATAGTAAGGGTAGTAAATGACTCAGGATAGCAAATTACTTACTTTGCTAATGAAATTCCAATGGCTGACATTATGGCAGCTGTGTTAGTCTGTCCATTTATTTGATGAAGTCTGCAAATCATTACACAGAAGAGAGTTGGTTGAAAATAAACACCAGGCTTATTTAAACACTATCAGAAAAAAAAAAAAAAAAAGAAAAAAGAAAGAAAAAAAACCCAAAACCAAAAAACAAACAACTTTTGAAAACTTTGAGGTTTTTTTAATGTATCTAAAAGAGAGGTTGTTTAAAAAAAACCCCAGGTTTATTTAAACACTAAAAAAAAAAAAAAAAAAAAAAAAAGAAAAAAGAAAGAAAAAAAACCCAAAACCAAAAAACAAACAACTTTTGAAAACTTTGAGGTTTTTTTAATGTATCTAAAGCAGAGTATTAGGATTCAACTGTGTGTACCAGCTTAATTCCTCATCTAATACAGGGTTTAGAGGATGCCATGTAGGATGATAAACAAAGAAACATTTTTGCAGGCCCTCTATTCCTAAAGTCCAAGACCAAAACATCTGAAACACTGGACAAGGATCTGGGTTTTCCTCACTGGTTCCTCTTTTATTAGAGATCAAGCCAAACCTAAAAATGTGATCATTCCAGATTTATGGCAGTTGAAAGTCTGTATTCAGGGTTAGAATTTTGATTTCCAAGAGGTAGACCAAGCCCTAGGACTTTAATACTGAAGCCAGGATGCCCATTTCTGGTTGAATGCTCCAATGAGTAAGTTATTATTGAAAAGGTAGACAGCAGCCCCTGTCCAGGATTGGTGGTGGTGTCAAGTTATTCCCGAACTATAATCCCCATTGGAAACCACTTCATTATGCAATAAGCAAAGAACATTTTGAGACACTAGAGTGCCCTTAAATTCAGACATTTGTGGCTTCACCAACCTCTTATGCTCATAGTGTGGAGCACCCTTTCACTGGAAATGACCAATTTGGATTCAACAAACAGCTGGTAGGGACCTGGTGTAGCAAGAGATCTGGAATTGTTATAAGTGTGGAGGACATTATACATTTTGGTATAGCTTGTTACTAAGCCTGTACCGTGATTAAACCAATGCACTTACTCATTAATTCCCTGTGCAATCTAGGAGACAGCTGCCTTCTGCACAGGTAAAAAAGTGGACTGATTTGAGATAAGAGGTTAACCTGAGTCAAAGTGTTTGACTGAATTCCTAGTCGACTTCACAACAAAGCCTTTGACCAATTTTTACAGTACTTCAGGTAAGAAGTTCAGACAGACTGTGAGGGTGGTGAGACCTTGGCCCAGGTTGCCCAGAGAAGCTGTGGCTGCCCCATCCCTGGAGGGGTTCAAGGCCAGGCTGGATGGGGCTTTGAGAAACCTGGTCTGGTGGGAGGTGTCCCTGCCCAGGGCAGGGGGTTGGAACTTGATGGTCTTTAAGGTCCCTTCCGACCCAAACCATTCTATGGTTCTCCTCCAGACAGTTCCAGCCATAGAATTGGCTAAAGCGTACATGGATTTGTACTTGTAATTAGTCAGTAGAAACTGCTCCTGCTGATGAAGAATTGATCGCATAGGACAGTCCTTTGCACACAGCTAAGACATGAGGTGTTTTGTACATAGTTTAGGATAATCAATAGCAACAGATTGCTCATATGCTGGAGTGATCACATAGGATCATGGGCAAGCCAGGTGTAAGAATTCAGAAAAAAATGCTTCAGGGAGTCTCAGTGAATCCAACTGGAGTCACTGTCACACTGAAGACAGAGATTGTCACTGTCAGGATAGCAGCTAACCATCTTGTTCAAAAGATTCACTTCTCCACATAAGCTTTATCCTATGCAATAGGTGCCAATAACTTCATGTTTTAGCAAACACTCTCTGCCAATGGCAATTGAAACATTTTTAATTACAATAATGAGAAAAGAAGAGAATTAAGGCTCTAAGTATTTTGCAAGCAGTGAGGCACGTTTTATATTCATCATACATAAGACAGAGGTTTTTCATTTTGTATGCATTCACAGCTGCTTCAGTGAGTAATTTTGAATAGTCACATGACTGCATGCAGATATTAGACTTAACAAAGACTTAGAGTCTTTTTTTGTGTGCAGATTTTATTTCAGGAACAGTATTTATGGTTTCTTATTTAAACTTGGACGCAACAAAGAAAGCAGAAATGAAGCAAAGAGACTAAATTTTTATGCTTTGCTGGTTTAGTCTTCTGAAGTCAAAAATGGCTCTTGAGTCATACAATATTCCAGGCTTTCAGTAATGTCTTTTACATTATTGGTAAGTGGGAAAAAATTAATTTAACTAGAGGTATAAGCCTCTAAAGCAAATTTGATTTTGCAGTTGTCTCTTTCAGTGGTTTCTGTCATTCTAAACTGCTGTAATCAACTGACTAAACAGACGTGAAAATACAACCATATCATAATTATAGAGCGGGGCCTGCTCCAGTGACCTTTATCATTTTAGTTATAGCCCACGGAACTTTGAGCTTGGAGTGGAACGTTCATCTCAAAATAATTCAGTAGTAGCCTATGAAGAACGGTGTGGTTTTGGCCTGGTTTGGCCTCGAATTCCTAAATCCTTCTCCCTCAGTCTCTGTCCTACACAACTCCTACCTGTCCCCTACTGATGCTCTAAAAGCACCATTTCACTGCAACAAATATAGAATGTTTTGATTTAAGTGTCTCTATCTGCCTAAGGCTCTCTGAAAGGCCTTCTTGTCTTTTCACTGCTTTGCTAGCTTACTTATCAAAATCAAATGCATCTCATTTGACTTTTGTCACAAATGTGATTAATTACGTTGTATGATCTGTTTGGTGCCTGCTTTCATATACACTAAGATGCCACATCACAGAACACCATGCAGCCACTCATGCTGATGGTCATTTTGGGTCCAAACCAGCAAAATCCAAACAGCTCATTCCAATATTAGAAATGGGCCTAGAGATGGTGTTTTTCTTTGCAGAGGGATGAGAGCCTTGTTGTAACTGAAGGGCAAATACAAAGTTTCCAAGAGATTTTGGAGCCGCTTTACTGGCATTAGTTTTAAAATAGATAACAAAAGTGATTTATAAACATTCAGGAGGTCATAGCTGAATTTCAAGAAGCATAAAACATTTTTAGTTTGAAAGGTAGGCCACAGCTGCTGACAAGTTTGATTTGATACAAAACCAATCATTCCTACAATTCTTTTCAGCAGATTAGAAGCATAAATAACTTTATGTTCTCGACTATTCAAATTCATGTTTAGCTTTGTTACATAGACCTCTCCTATATTATTCAATGGTCTCCCTTTGACATTGATTCTTCATTTTCAACATTTAATTTACCAACTAACGCTGTTGCATGATCAGAATATTATGGAATTTGTAACACTTTTGCATTAATTTATTCACCCATTACAATATATTGTAGAACTTGAAAATCTACAGGCAGTCCTACATAAAAACCACAAAGGGTTTCTGTCTCTAATCTTCCAATACTGTTTTCCACTGGGAAGATTATAATTTTTCTATGAGATGTCATTGCAAATGAAGAACTTTATTCACAGCTCAACCTGGCAAGCCTACTGCAAGCCAAAAAATTCATGTAATGGCGTACTAACGAGTGCTTTCTACTTTCAATGAGGGCAATACCTGTTGCCTTCATTGGCCACTGCTCTTGGACCACTCCTGGGAGAAGGATTTTCGTGAGCTTTTTTAAAGTGATAAAGGGACCAAGAATCCAGAGAGCATGTATAGCTTGGTTCCCATTCTGACAACAAAATCATGAACACTAAACAAACAAAAAAATCTTTAGATATTCTAGTTGTGACACTCATCTTAAACACCCTACCCAATCTGTTGCTTATATCATTAGTCACATGATTATTACTGCTGATTTACCTTTTCTTGAATCTCAGAATAACCAGGAGCTTTTAACACTACCATATAACTGTCTCCAGAGTGAATAGTAATACAGATAGTTATTAGCCTGAGAGATTACAGTGCCACCATAACCACAGATTTGCTTGCGTGAATGTTTGCAATCAGTGAATAATATATGTTGAGAATCAAAGTCAATGTGATGTTTTCCTTCAAAGTAACATTTGCAAACACTTTCAGCATTATTTATTCAACTTTGCCTATAAGAGTTGGTAAATGTTGACTTGTTGACATGCAGCTACTGTAAATATTGAATTTTTCTCAGCTTCTTTAACAGTTTAAATTTGCAAGGCAACAAGTCAAGTTACATGGTTAACCTGATGATCCGGTCTTGCTTTTAATTTCCTTTCTACCTTTTCTCTTGAAGATGCTGCTGTTGAGAATCAAGATGTTCTAAAACGGTGGCATCTACTGGTCTCCATCTTTGCTCCCATGTTTTATTCTCTCAGTTTCTCTAAAGGAAAAAACAAATAAAAATGCATTTCATAAATATAGCCAATTCAACACTTTTCTTTTTGGTTCATTCTTTTCATATATTCCTGGTACTTTAGAATATAAGCTCTTCCTGGAAGGGGCCTTATGCTAGTATTTGTCTGCAAAGTGCTAATAATTTTTTTTTTTTTTTAAGGAGACCCTAGTTGCTCCTTTATATATATAAAAAAAAAAAAAAAAAGTTGTTTAAGTGTAATCCAGTCTTCTTTCCTTGTAGCTTGTACTTCTTCACACGCAAACAGGCCAGTATGTCTGAATTTGTTACTGAGATATTACTAACTACATGAGCTACGTAAAAGAATTCTTGTGTTCTCTCTTACTGTTAACTATGTTTTTTCTTAAAATCTCCTTTGAGAATAAGTGATTTAACCCCCAAGCTACCTAGCGCCTCGTGAATTACGCTCACGCCTCACTTTTTGATTATGGTAATGCCACTGATAGCATCAGCACAATAATTAATAGCAGATTTTGTCAATTTTCTGCTTCACAAAATCCTCCCCGAGCCTTACCTACATCTTACCACATCACACAGGATTACATTTCTTTCCTTCTCCTTTCAACCTCCTTTCACTTTTCTTGTCTGTATGTGCATATCTTGAGCTTGATTTTCAATGGTGCTAACTTCCTTCATCTCCAAATGAAATTAAAAGAGTTTTCAGGGCTCCGAGGTTTCTGCTTTCTTATTTCCAGTCTTTAGTAATGCCTCACCAGCAAATCCTTCCTGAAACAAAATAAGGATACCCTGAAATAGTTTGTTTTTCAGCTGCACCTTGAAACAGCCAGTGCACAATAGGTTAAACTAAGCTATTGACAATTTCAATTTACAGCTGGCAACAGAGAAATTATTAATAGAGAAAAACAGGAAATATCCACAGCAAGACCCCCATTATCTAACAAATTATTTGCTTTCAAAATATATTAAAATCATGCAGACCTTAGCAGGACTGTCTGTAGCACAACACTTACCTGCCTCCTGGCAACACAGTTACAAAGGCGAAGTGTGTCTCATTCCACTTGTGATTTTATAATGAGATGTGAGTCTACATTAAAGAGTAACATGTTTGTTTTCTGAGTGAAATTCCCCAGGTATTCCGGGATGCCAGGCAGCCTTTCTATCCGTCTGCTCTATTGTTAGCACGTTTCATAAATCTACCTCAAATGCAGCTGAATCTTTTTCCATTGCAAAAGCCTCGGGTTGTGAAGCTGAGCAGACATCACATGCATAAAATGGTTAATTACGTTGTGGCTTTTCAAAGGCAATCTTAGTGAAAATCATTTGCAGCTCTGTGAGAGAAGGGTCACCTATGCACCAGAGCTACAAAGGGAAGAAGGCATTTCTGCTGTCTGTTCTGTCTCCATTTTGAGGGCAGGCTGCCTGCTGATTATTCTGCATTCACTGCTCTAAAAAGCTTATTAATGTGGTCTAGAGGGAGACTGTCAGAAATGGCAGACTGAATCAGGGGATTTTCCTTCAACATCCAAATGACATGCTGCAGCAAGAGAATTAAACAGATGACTAACCAGTGCCCTTTTGTCTGCAGATGAAGATGGGATTGCCAACTTGTAAACCGGCGACTGACATTTGGGTGGATTAAATCGTCCTGTTATTGTACTGCTAGTTTCTAATCACCGGTGCTTTCTTGATCTCAAGTGCCTCGGCTGAAAAGCCTTCTCAGTTCTCCGAGACTTGTTTGCTGAAACCCTCAGCAGAGCATTTGCTGTAAACATTTATCCATAGAGAAGTACTTCGCTGACACTGACTGAGGAGAATCGTTGGCTTCTAGGTATTTAATTAAAACATTAAGCAGAAAAAGCTTTAGTGTCAACATTCACAAGTGCTTCACTATAGCTGTGGGTTGTTATAATTGAGTTTTCCTGCAAATGCCTTTTTTCTCCTCCTTCCTTCTCTCAAAGATAGAATAGCTTGAGGTTCGCTTTGCCTCATGCTGTTAGTTGTGGCTTTGAGACGGTGCCCCATGCTGTCATTCTCTGGATTCTTTCAATCTGGTTGTTAGCTTTAATTTCTAAAATCAAGATTGGATGGCAACAAGGGGCTCTAATGAAAAGTGGCAAAAAAAAAAAAAAAAAAGTTATTTGTTAAACAGCACTAAGAATTCTTATGTGCAACAGCATATAATGTGGTCAAGCTGATTGTGTTCCAATTTTGTAAACTGTCAGATGCTTTCACCTTGTAATTAATATTAAAAGCAAGAATGTACTGTTCAGGAACCAAAGGTACCCTGACACCTATAGAAATTCTTTTCAGGCTTCTATTTGTCACCATTCTGATGTTTGCAATTTGAAAAAAAAACATAGACTGCACTGTCCCATGAACACTGTCGTTAGAATTTGCATTTAGAAAGTAGGCAGCTCACAGAGTCATTTGTTGCCAGTCAGTTCATCAAGTTAGTACTTACAACAGTGCTTTATTTAAAATAAAAGAAACCTGTACTTGCCAGCTTGGAACTAATAGAAAAGTACAAAGTAATGCACCTTCACAACACTTTACTGAATGAGATCTGTAAAGAACATGTTTTTCTTTCCACACTGTGGGAAATCTCACTTCTACTCCCTCAAATGGTCCATGCACATTACATTACATCTTCAGCATAATGAGTCAAATCAGAAGTTGTTGTTCTCTGAAGAAGGCAGGAAGGTAGACATTTCACATAACATCTTAAGTCATGGAAAAAATATTTCGAAGGAGAGAAAAAGCTGTAAGCTTCCATTTCCAGATTGCCTCTGGCATTCTGGACATAGAAGTACAGAAGCTAATGGCTACCTAAATGAGAGAAGATTTGTAAAGACACATTCTCACTTCTCTACATCTGTAGCTATTCTTGATTTATAATTTAAACTTCACTTCCCTGTCATTGATAAACAGAAGTTAAAAGGGGCAGTTCCGGAAGGTTATACTTTAATATGGTCACCTGCTTGTTCTCAGGCATCTTAAATATAATGTATATTATAGAATCATAGAATCATGGAATTGTCAGGTTGGAAGGGACCTTTCAGATCACCAACCATCAACCTAACAGTGATAAAACCATCACTAAACTGTATCTCTAAGCACTATTTCTCCCCACTTTGCATGCCCTGCTTAGAAAGGAAAGTCAGGTTTAGGCTAATACAAAGCTGTGGTGTGAAGAAGTGTTAGAGCTCTCAGTGTCTTGCACCTTGGCCCTGCCTTCCCACGTGGGTCTGCGATGGACACTGTACATTGCAGTGGGCAACATCCTCCTTGCTGCTACCAGGTGGCTTCCCCTTCCCCTTCTTGACACAGGGAGGCAAAGGGTTGGCTCTTCTTTCCTGATGTAACAAAACACCCTGAAGCACAGAGCACTACTCTATCGAGCGATGCAGAGTTGATTTACAGAGGTGATGTCAACGACCATGACAGAACAAGAGCCCAAACTCAATTCCGTGTGACCTTGATCAGGCTGCCATTTCACCGTGGTGGTAGGGGTAGGCAAATACAAGAAGACAGGCTGCAAGAGTTGAGATTGTTCAGCCTGGAGAAGAGAAGGCTCCAGAGGGACCTTATAGCAGCCTTCCAGTACCAGAAGGGGGCTCACAGGAGAGATCAGGAGGGACTCGTGATCAGGAAGTGAAGCCATAGGACAAGGTTATAGCAGCCTTCCAGTACCAGAAGGGGGCTCACAGGAGAGATCAGGAGGGACTCGTGATCAGGGAGTGAAGCCATAGGACAAGGGTAAATGGTTTTAAACTGAAAGAGGGGAGATTTAGATGAGATGTTAGGAAGAAATTCTTTCCTGTGAGGGTGGTGAGACACTGGCCCAGGTTGCCCAGAGAAGCTGTGGCTGTCCAACCCCTGGAGGGGTTCAAGGCCAGGCTGGATGGGGCTTTGAACAACCCATGGCAGGGAGTTTGGAACTCAATGATCTTTAAGTTCAACTTGGACCATTTAATAATTCTATGATTCTAAGAGCAACACCTGTGCAACTCCCTCCTGAGTCAGGAGGTTATCCCTATTCTCCTGTACACACAATATCTACCATGCAATATCAGTAGAACTGAATAATTTATGGTGGGAATAACCATATTATTTCCCCAGCATCCCAACCCTTTAGTAGTCTGATTTGCATAGCTGTGCAAACAACATTGCAGATATTTTTTTGAACCTGTTAAATAAGCATTTGAAGTATTATTAGGAGATGAAACAGTCACATGAAAGGCTTAAACAAGAGCTAGTATTACTGTTTCATTCTGTAAAACAAAAAAAAAAAAAAAAAGAAAAGAAAACTAGATGCCATGACTGGAATAGCTTGAGAGAAAAATCTCTGAAACCTTTGAAAAGGTTTCTTTAGAAGGTGAAAAAAAAAAAATCTCAGTAGAACAAGTTTAATTGCAAAAGGTATATTAATTGTATTTAACTCTATTTTTCTCCTCTATCTACACACACACACAGTTTATGCATGTGTCATATCTTCAGCAAAACATATATCCTTTTGTGTATTAAGTCATGACCTCAATTATTAAGACTGGAATAACAGAATAAACATTCATTACTTGCTTCCCCCACTTTCCAAGAAGCATTGGACTTTTTTTTTGTCAAAGATTTAAGAAGGAAAGAACAGAAAATTTTCCTGAAGACTACTTTCTGACTTTCTCCTTGGTTTTGCAGACTATATATTCATATATTTTTAGTAAAGGCAAAAGTATTCCACCTAAGTTGTATTTATACCTGAAAATTTCTCCTCAAAAAACATGAAGAGAAAATTCTGAACAAACCTAATTCAGACTATAAATTTAATATTTTTTTTCTGCTATCTATTTTTGTTATTTAAGCATTTAAATAATAGAGTGACAATACATTGGGCATTTTTAGCCACATTTTTTTAAAAAATTATAATGTTAAAAAACTTTGAGAGGTTGAGTTAGTGTTTGATGACAAGTTATCAACTTGTTTAATTAGGAAAGATATTTTAAGTAGGAAGGCTATTGTTCTGATCTCATATTCTCACAATTGTCATTACAAGGTCCTGCCTAAACTCCGGAAAAGCTTTTAAAAAACTCTTTCTAGAAATGGATGATATCTCTTTAAAATTTGCATTAGGAAGCCGGGGAAGTCATTAGTATACAGCTGTAACCCTAAGAGTGTAGACTTGAAAGAACTGTTTATTTTCTGCCTTGCAGCTGTGTGTAAAACCCACTGAGAGAAACTTGTTACCAATTACTGGTTTAGAGGCTTCAAGTAAAGACAGCAGGTACCAAGAGAGTAAAACAGTCTAGCTCACAAATAACTATACAACACTGAAATTCCTTAAAAGCAGCTGTTAAAGGAAAGGAAAAAAAAATATAACTGCTGAGAAGAAAAAAAATATAAATGAGTTAGTAAGTAAAGAAGTAAATAAAGCAAAGCAAAGCAAGATGTAGAGAAAAAATATTAGTTAACCAAGCCAGAGAAGGAAGGTTTTGCACTATAAGCTTCCAGTGACAAAGATCAGATCAATAGCTGCAGTTCCAGAAACCAATATATTTCAAACTTTGTCTGAGTACTTGTAATATGCAATTGGAAAGGCACTTCTATAAGACATCATGTTCATTGAAGAATATATTGCAAAAAGAAAGGACATTTTATAAGTGTAAGAAAAACCATTAACATAAACTGTTGCAAACAAGAAATCTGTCTCTGACTTGGAAGAAACTGTCAAACAGTGAAAATAATTTGGTTGCATTAACTGAAAAAAAAAAATAGAATTAGCTGAATTTTCTATCAAAGGAAGTTTTCACAAAATCCGTGACATTGGTTAGCTGTGTGGATAGTACTATCAGCAGTAGGAACTAAAAAGCAGTAATTTCTCTAACCAGTCCTGTTAAATTCAGAGATGAACCTCAGAATTCCTTCTTAATATTTTGGTTTACTTCTTCCTCTGTTCCCCCCAATCTTGTTTATGGATGACTGCCGCTTTCATGTAATCCTTGCACTCAAAAAAGCATAAGATTGGTACTGCCTTCAGAACTGGTACAAAAGCGAAGGTGCTGGACATTCTCATGTTTCTTTTATGTCCTAGTGTTGGCAGGATGAAGTCCAGCTCTTTGTGCATGATGTTACTACAGCATTTTTCAACAGAGAAGCTCAAAGTGCCAAACAAATAAACACCTTATAATACCCCATGGGAAAAAAAAAAAAAAATGGTTTTGTGGTATTTCTGCCTGGTCCAAAGTTAGAAGAGGAAAAGAAGTTTAAAGTCTAATTCCAAGAGATACTAAGGAGAAAGCATGAAGAGTTATAACCAATAAAGACCTTAAGCTTCAATGAATTAGGTACTAGAATGTCCATTCTTCAGTTTTGAATCTCTGAATTCCTTAAAGTAGACTCTATAAAGGGCAGTTATCTATGTTATTCTCCC